TACCTAGTCTATCGTACATTCACCTAGTCTATCGTCCATTTACCTAGTCTATCGTCCATTCACCTAGTCTATCGTACATTTACCTGGTCTATCGTCCATTCACCTAGTCTATCGTCCATTTACCTAGTCTATCGTCCATTTACCTAGTCTATCGTCCATTCACCTAGTCTATCGTCCATTTACCTAGTCTATTGTCCAGTCTGTTACCTGTATATTTCCTATTCTGTCATCTGGTCGATCGCCGTCCTTACAAAACTACCATAACTACAACCTAAAACAAAACCTACTCATATACATCTGACATCATTCAACCCTAAGCTTAACTCTAACATTACTGTACCGCGTAGGGTAGGGGGTTCGGTTGAGGGCTAGGTGTATGGTTAGTGTTAGTTTCTGGATTTGCGATTTCCAAATCTGTGATCCTGGTTTTACGATTGTTGGGGTACGGCTAACAGCCAAGTGCTGCATGTACCAGCGTTGTGTGGTTGCCAGTGATGTGATGTGATGTCTTGTTGCCAGTGCTATGGTAGAGTTGTGTGGTTGCTAGTGGTGTGATGTCTGGTTGCCAGTGGTGTGATGTCTTGTTGCCAGTGCTATGGTAGAGTTGTGTGGTTGCTAGTGGTGTGATGTCTGGTTGCCAGTGGTGTGATGTCTTGTTGCCAGTGCTATGGTAGAGTTATCTGGTTGATAGTGCTGAAACTCTGATGCCGCTGTATGTAGGGCGTGACCTGTGACCCGTGAAACCTCACGCTACACGTGAAGCTGGAGGTAATCTTGAGTGAAGGGTAGTGAAAATTGGGCGTGAAAGGTGACACGTGACCTGGTTGTGAAAGGTGACACGTGAACTGGTTGTCTTGAAAGGTGACACGTGAACTGGTTGTCTTGAAAGGTGACACGTGAACTGGTTGTCTTGAAAGGTGACACCTGACCTGGTTGTCTTGAAAGGTGACACGTGAACTGGTTGTCTTGAAAGGTGACACCTGACCTGGTTGTCGTGAAAGGTGACACCTGACCTGGTTGTCGTGAAAGGTGACACCTGACCTGGTTGTCGTGAAAGGTGACACGTGAACTGGTTGTCGTGAAAGGTGAACTGGTTATTGAAAAACGTGAAACGTGAATTGATCGTTAAGAAAATTGACACGTGTTAGCCTACAATGGTGTAACAGATTGTTCTATTCTATCTGGGTTTTTTTTTTCTAGTTGCGGACTGACTTAATTTAACTCAAGTCCCCTTCGGCCTTGACACGTAAAGGTATTTTATTTACTTGTGGTCCCTTGTTTTCGCAGACTTGTCGTTCGTCTAGAAAATATGGCGGGTTTTTTTTTTTTTTTTTTTTTTTTTTTTTTTTTTTTTTTAAATTCCTCGTGTACTGATCGTGTATCGTGACCTTGGTGTGTTGAAATGGAGGGGCCTACTTTTCTTTAATGTATCAATTCGCCCATTTTTATCATCACGACCTTTCCTATGCGGACACTTTTGTGTGTTTGCCTTCCCCTTGGCTTAGCCGGCCGTTTGCACTTTTAGAAATATTCCGTCAGCCGAGCGACTACAAAATAAGTTTCTATTTTTATAGCTCGGAGACTGGGAGAAGGGGCAAGAACTCTAAACTCTAATATTATTCAAGCGAGAGTGAGGGGGAAAAAATTCCACGCGCTACGTCAGTGTTGTCGCACTTTAAAGACAAAAAAAAAAAAAAGATATATATGAAAATCCCAACAGGAACTAATCTACCTCGTCTTAATAACCTAGCTGTGTTTTTTTTAATCAAAGAAGAAATAAATAAATAATTAAGCCAGCTCGTACATCAAACGAATGGCATTTCGATAAAGTATGTTCCTTGTTCACGTCACATTTCACACCTACCCCTTCATCCCTCTACCCGCCCTCTGCCCCCCCCCCTCCCCCGCCTCCTTTAATTGATTTTTTTCGTTTCTGGACACAAAAGTGCATATTGATCTGTGACCCGGGGGTGGGGCGGTATCTATAGTACAGGAGCATTTGAATTATTCACCAGTTTAAGCGTTAGATGAAGAGGTTTGTTCGATACGGCACCTCCCCCACCCCTTCTACCACCCACGTGATGTGTACGGTGGGGGTACTGTCTCCTGGGGTACGGTAGGACTTGAATTACCAACTGTGTAGGGTGGGGGTACCGTCTACTGGGGTACACTATTACCTTTACCAGCTGTGTGGGGTGGGGCACGGTAGGACTTAAATACCAGCTTTGTTTGATGGGGCGTATGGCCACCTCGGCAGTCGAATTAATTAATATACAATAATTTAAATAGCATCCTGTTTAATCAGGTGCTACTATAATAGTCACTTACCATCATTAGCCTCCATAGCAGGTGCACGGCACATCAATGTAGATTTTTACTCACTGTTAATATAGTTTTTACACACACACACCCACACACACACATATGTATATGTATATAATGACACCCTCTCCCCTTTGGTAGACTACCCTCTTCCACCAACTGCTACACATGTTTTTGAGACCGCCATTTATTTTATTTTAAAAAACCTGACGACCTACTTCAGCCCCCAGTTCTTGTAATTTATCTTTGTTTCCAGAACAAGCCGCCGGTCACGTGACCAACATCAGTGTTACCCCCCCCCCCCCCCCCACCTGTTTCCCCCACCCCCATACCTCAAGTTTGTGGGGATCTGCTCCTGAAATAGACGGCCACTAATGCCGTTTATTTGTTTACCTTCTGATCACGTAGCCACATTGACTGGTAAAAATCAATTGGTTTTTTTCTTCTTCTTCTTCCCTTATTTCTATCGGGGAAAGAAAGAAAAAGAATTTTTAATCTGGTTGAAGAATAGGCTTTGTTACTTGGGGAGGGGTGGAAAAGGCGTTGTTATATGGGGTGGGGAGTGCTGTCTCGACATGCCCAAACTCAGCCCTTCATCGTTGGGTGCACTTGCGTCACGGCTACGTCACAACACGGAAGTGTTCCAATCCGTGATGTCACATTCACGAGTACTCCGTCTCAAGGAGCGAGTATGTTTCATGCTATTGTTTTTTGTTATCGATTCTCCAAAGTTGAAATCCATAAAACTATCAGTGCTAGAGTTGAGTCGTGTATAGGTGTACTTAAGTATGTATAGATCTATATCCGCCTGCCTTGGGCTACGAGTCGGTCATTGTTCTTCTGTATTAGCTGTAATCGATATTCAGAATTATGGATTGATTGATTTTTTTTTTGTTTAATACCAAAATGTTGATACGAACCTATATTCGCCATAGACAATATAACGGAAGGTACTCGGTAATTAATAAATGACGTAGCTGATAATAAAAACAATGTGGAAAATATAATTGCTCTGTAATTAAACGTACTAAAACGAGTTGAAACTACCTTTAACAAACGAGGAGTTGAAACTACCTCTAACTTAGATATGGTACCAGAGCACGTTTTAAAGAACTTTTCCTGTCAGCTTTTCACCTTGTAGCGTGCAGGCTTACGCTCCAACTTAAGCCCATCTCTCTTCTCTCCCCTTCCCAAACCTCACGCCGCTCCAGTTTCAACCCACATTCCTCCAATTCCTCTCCTCGTTCCGTCCCAAAGTGACCCCAATCCATCCTTTATACAGACCTGCCGACCCCTCCCTGTTATTGACGGGACGAAACCCCCCCCCCCCCCCCCCCCCGGCTATCTTCTCGACCCCACTGTACTAAACGACTGTCGCCTGTGACGTCAGAGTTGACCTTTAGTCACTGGTCACGCTTGGACGATTTCATGACCACTTAAGTACACTGACCCTTCCTTTTCCCCCATACATCTTGGGCTAAAAATAGAACGCCCCGCCTCCTTTGCCATAAAAATGTAATTGGGCTTTGTGATAGTGGGCTTATTTTTCATGCCACTATAATCCTGACCTTCCGGCAAGTTTTTAAAGCTATCAAATGTGCCACGTTGTATTTAAGGTATTTTAGATTAACTGCGACCTTGGCATAAATCTCTTTGAGGGCTGCTATCATGAACTGTTTAACTGAAGGGGAAAGTGCTCTAACACTTATACGTGTAGCCTCCTTATAGCATGTTGTGTGGTGGAGTTGGGCTTGATTGTGGTGGAGTGGGGCTGGGTTGTGTGGTAGAGTGGGGCTGGGTTGGGTGGTGGAGTAGGACTTGGTTGGCTGGTAGATTGGGGCTTGGTATAGTATAGCTTAATTGTATGAAATAATCTGCTTTGTTAATGTGTAAAACCTATCACACTTTTCCTTCTTCGTACTTCTAATTTATCAGGCCAGATGTATTATGACAGATATATCATATGTCATCATGCCAGTTGTCATATAGATACTTGACTTCATTTGGGACAGAAAATGCGGCTAAGCGTAGTGCTGACCACATATGCTAAGGTCCCAAAAACAAGTGTACTCTGCTTCATCTGGTCTATGATCATCTGGCTAAAAGTGTTCTTTACCTGACAGATGTCATGTCATTCATGACAGGTTATATTCCATATCATTGACGAGACCTACAGCTGTGTGAGGGTATAAAACGTGTCCCATTCAACTGTGAAATAGGATGTGACATTTGAAGCCTTGGGCTGAAACTGTTTGTCCTCTCCTGGTGACCTTTGGCATTTTGATCCTGATGTGTTTTTTGTTATGATAATTATCTGATTCATCTCAGTATGAAAAGTACATGTGCCTGGTGTTGCAGTTGCAGAGTTCAAAAATTGTAATTTTACAATCTAATAATTATCTGACGCCCCTCTCCCCCTTTTTAAAAATTGTTTTTTTGTTTTTCACTAGGGTTGTAACCTCATTTATGATCAACACACATCCACTGTTACCTGCTTTTTTATTTGTTCTTTTCTTTTTCTATTTTTTTCCTAACAATTTGTTTTTATTTATTTTTGTGTACGATTATACCTGTTAAAAACATTTCAATGCATCAGGTTGGTGTACGCCTATTATAAGCTTTAAGAACCTCCTCGATTTGGGCATTTCATCTTACCAGTTGTTTTCTTTGATTGACAGGCAGGTGTAGAGGATCATGGGACAGCAGATGTCAGCTGCTGCTGCCGCTGAGGGGGTGGGGCAGGGCGCCTCCATCTCCCACCACAGTTCCACACCTCCAGAGTTCCAGACCAAGTCAGACAATGTCGAGGCCGGGCGGCCGCACCCCAACCCTGCCTGGAGGAACATGTACAGCGCCAAGGGGGACCACGTGGCCCCCAGCGCCCTGGCGGACAGCGGAAAAAATAAAATAGATGCTGACGCCAGCCGAATGTCCATCCGTGCCGCCATCGACTCATTCATAGAAAACTGTTTATCGTCCAGTAATGATTTTTCTCCTGGCGACAAAAAAGATGGACAGTCCGGCTCGGCTGAAGGGGAGTTAATGAACGGAGAACGGAAAATTAACGACGATTCCAGACATTCTGAGTTATCCAAGGACGGCTCATTTAGCCAGACGGAGAGTCAGTGTTCAGACTGCACGGATAAGTGTTCACAGGACAACGACCTTGAGATGGAGGAGAAGCAACTGGTCATTGACTGCACGGACAGCAGCACTAACAACATGGATGACCAGGCTCTGGAAAAATCCGATCACGCTGTCGAGGTTAAAAATGAGAAGTTAAAAGACTCTAAGAAAGACATGGCGCCAGGCGGAGCTGATGCTGCTCACTCCCATTCCTCCAATGATAAACAGTCGTTCTCCGCCTACCTGCAGGATAAGCTGAAAAAAGTGGATATAGATAAACACGAGGAGTTAAACCAACTGGCCCAAAACAAGGACATCCATGGCCAGATTCTCATGTGGGAAATGACCAAAAAACCACCATCTTGTCCGGAGAATGTGGACTCCGCACCAGGTCCGAGTCCGGTGCGATTACAAACCTTGATCGACAAAGTGCTGGATAGTTCTTTAAACAACCAAGATCTGACACCTTCAGCCAATATACAAAAAAGTAAAGAAGATGATATAAAGAAACCACCCGATTCTGATAAAAGTTTAAAGGAGAAACAGAACGAGAAGGATAATCGTATGGAGTTAAGTTCGTCAGTGTATTCTAAGCCCAAGCAAGATGCGGCAGTGAGTGAGAAAAGTGAAGCGACCAACAAACCAGCTAAAAGTACTCTCTGTTTCAAGGATCATATAGAGAAGGTTCTACTAGAAAGTTTTCTATCTTACGAAGAAGAAGAACGTAGAGAAGCCTTGAAAAGGGGAGAAAACCCTGATAAGCAGAGTCCTGTGATTACCATAGAGACGGATACTGAGAGACAGGCTGCTAGGAGAGAGGCTATGAAACCAGGTCCTGATAGGACTATCAGCGTGCAGGACATTGTTGATCGTGTCATCAGTGAGACGGATGTCATCAGTAAGCTGATGACGTCCGCTACAACTGACGGAAAGCCGGCTGCCACTGAGGTTGTGGCGCCTGTCGCCACCAGCGCAGCTTCCCCACACCCTGCGTTGAAGTACGCCACTACACAGAACAAGGCATTGCTGGAGGCTCAGAAACATGCAGTTCAGAAAGAGCATCACAGTGCAAATATAGGCAGAAAGAGGGGCCGACCTCGGCTGGGGAGTCCCATGAACAACCCCGGGGTATGGTTAATCCCAGATAAGGACGGTAAACCCATCTACGCTGACCACAGAAACAGGGACCTCCGCAATGCTAACCATATTGATAGGGCCAACGGGTCCACCGGTCACCCCCGTCAAGGTCCGCCCCCTCTAGACTACGCTCCGCACGGGTCTCACAACTACGGACCCATGGGATTACCTACAATAGTGGCTTCTAAATCTTCTTCCATGATGTTTCACCAGCGCCACCACCCATCTCAGGTGAGGGTTTCTGCCGAACAAGCCCAGGTGAACGCCGCCCAGAGCATGTCCAGTGCGGCTTCCATGTACCACCAGCACACCCAGGACACATTCCAGCAGAGGAGTCAGCAGCTGTCTGCTTCTGCCCAGCAGCGGAGTCAGCACCCAGGTCACTCGGCCAAACCGCCCCCGCCCCTCATTCTAGCTGACCACCTGGGGGACAGCTCTGGGAACAGCATGAGCAGGTTGGTGCAGGTGTCCCACATCCCCACCAAGACCTGCTCCTGCCACAGCTGCATCGCCCACTTCTCTCGGGAGAAATCTCCATCCCGCTCCGCCGCCCCGCATCATTTACGCCACCCGGGGAAACCTGACCCCGCTCCTCACCCTTCACTCTACCACCCATACCAAACCCAAAGACATGGCGCCAAAGAATATTACCCTCACCAGGTCCCGTCAGGCAATGAATCTCTCCGACAAACAGTCCCATCACAGACTCTGTCCCAGCAGGCCATGATACCCAACTACCCACCAGCTCACCGCCAACACGACGCACCCACAAACCAACCCCAGATGACGCGGGAGAGCACGGCTCGTTACTACGATCCCAAAACCAGAAACCCTTCTCCTGGGCATTATCTTCCATACCCGAACCAACTCCAACCATCCAGTTTACCAAAATCTACAGAAAGCTTATACGCTGAATCAGACCGACACCGTCACCCCCAAATTCCAGATCATTACGAAGCTGTGGTTCCTCGGAGAGAAGTCCCCCGCGAGAAACACCCCCAGCCTGTAGCTTTGAGCGTGTCTAAGGTGGTTCCACCCCTTCATGTCCTGCCACAAGAACCTGCTGCAGCTTCTGAGGGTGATCAGCCCCTGGATTTGTCTGTGAAGCCCACCCCAGCCCACAGTAGGGAGACCAGGAACAAGCCCAGTGACCACCATGTTGAGATGACCAGACACGAGGCAGATTCAAGGTCCTACAGGTAAACTTGACCCTTCTCACTCAACTGTTAGCCATAGATTTGTGTCTTGTTGCCTGTAGATTTTTTTTTTGTTAGCCATAGATTTGTTTCTTGTTGCCTGTAAAAAAAAATTTTTGTTAGCCATAACTTTGTTTCTTGTTGCCTGTAGATTTTTATTTATTTTTTATTTGTTAGCCATAGATTTGTTTCTTGTTGCCTGTAGATTTTTTTTTTGTTAGCCATAGATTTGTTTCTTGCTGCTTGTAGATTTTTTGTTTGTTTGCCATAGATTTGTTTCTTGTTGCCTGTACATTTTTATTTATTTTTTATTTGTAAGCTATAGATTTGTTTATTTAACATTAAGCTATAAACACTTGACCTAGACCCTGTTAAACCAATGTAAACACACACAGTAACTTGAACTCTGGCTAGACAATACTATATTATTTTGTGCATAATTTCCTTCGGCCTATAATTGAGTTGAAGACTATGTTTAGTGATTTCATCAAGCTTAGAATAAAAAATGACCCTACTGTTGAAATAAGATTTGACATTGGGGATTGGGCAATCATAGTCAATGATCAACTTTAGAAATATTACCCAAAAAATATTACCCATTAAAAAAAATCATTAAAAAATAATTATATAGTATGTTTGTCATGTTCTCGTTACCTTTAAAAACAACAAACAACCCAGTCACAACTGCAGTAGTTAGAATAGAACCAGATAACAGCTACTCAATAACAGTGAGCAGAAAGACTTGACAGGTCATACATTTGCCACCTGTTGACCAAGTTCTTATGGAAAAAATGTGTGGAGTTTCCCCAGCTGTTGTCTTCTCATATTTTCTACAATGTCCTTGTATTGTAGCTATCACTTCTCTTGATATGTGCATACGTGTGCCCTTGTATTGTAGCTACATGGGTCCTAGTATTGTAGCTATCACTTCTCTTGATATGTGCCTACATGTGTCCTTGTATTGTAACTACAATGGGTCCTAGTATTGTAGTTACGTGTGTCCTTGTATTGTAGCTGATGTGTCTTTGTATTGTAGCTACATGGGTCCATGTATTGTAGCTACGTGGTTCCTTGTATTGTAGCTACGTGTGTCAGTGTATTGTAACTATGTTTCCCTGTATATTAGCTAAGTATATTAGCTATGTTTTAGCTTTGTGTCCTTGAATTTAACTGTGTCCTTGTATTTTAGCTGTGTGTCCTTGTATTTTAGCTGTGTGTCTTTGTATTTTAGCTTTGTGTCCTTGTATTTTAACTTTATGTCCTTGTATTTTAACTTTGTGTCCTTGTATTTTAACTTTGTGTCCTTATATTTTAGCTTTGTGTCCTTGTATTTTAACTTTGTGTCCTTATATTTTAGCTGTGTGTCCTTGTATTTTAGCTTTGTGTGCTTATATTTTTGCTGTGTGTCCTTGTATTTTAGCTTTGTGTCCTTGTATTTTAACTGTGTCCTTGTATTTTAGCTTTGTGTCCTTGTATTTTAACTGTGTCCTTGTATTTTAGCTGTGTGTCCTTGTATTTTAGCTGTGTCCTTGTATTTTAGCTTGGTGTCCTTGTATTTTAGCTTTGTGTCCTTGTACTGAAGTGTTCTCTTACCTTGCTAATTAGTTACAAGATAAAACACAAAAATTGCATCATAGGTTGAATTTAAAAAAAAAAAATTTTGCACTAATTATCTTTACATTTCACTGATTAATTTTAATTCCCTGAATTTTATCTGCAGATCTGGGGCTGCTGAAGTTCCTGCCAAGGGTCAAGGTCACTACATTGAATACGAACAGCGGGCGTCGTCTGGCCACCACCTCCAGAGGCTGGAGAACAGCGTGGACAGATACCTGCCACAGCCGCACTACCCCAGCACGCCCAAGCTCAGCCCCCAGGACACCAGGCACAGCTCAGTGCACCAGTCCTCACCCCTGCTCCAGCCGCCAGAGTCTCCGGGTCTTCGCGGGCTTCACCCCGCCCAGTCTCCAGTCGGCACCGCCTACCTTGCTCCACATTCTCGGGCGTCCCCCTCCCACACCCCGCAGCGAGCAGTTGCGCCCTCACCAAACAACAGCCTCTACCAGCCCAGCACCTCGCCCAGCGTTGGACCACTTTACCTAACCTCTGCGTCAAAACCTGCCCCGTCCACTTTCCAAAGACCACCCAGTCACGGAGCGGATGACCAACGTATAGGACAAATCCAACCCCATCCACAAAGCAGTCCTTCACCGGATGACGCAGAAGCACAGAGACTTGGTGTGTCTAAACACGAGCCCATACAAAACATCATTGGACACCATCCCCCTAGTGACATCCTTTACCTCATATGTAAACTATGTCGCCAGACATACGGGAGCCCTTACGGCTTCAGAAAACACTTCAGGAACCAGCATGGGTTTGAACCCAAAGCCGAGCACACGCTTGTCCAGACTATATCAGCCACCAAGACGGCTATGGCGCATACAGTTCCAGGGGACGAGAAACCTCACTCCCCAATGGACGAGCACAACACATTCGACGAGGTTCACTACCAACACAGAGATTCTAGCTCTGGGGGCTACAACTACGACGAGGCCAAGAAAGACCTGCCGGAGAACACAAAATTTCTTGAGTGCCCGGAGTGTGGTCAAACGTTCCAGTTGAATGATTTTGGATCTTATAAAAGACACTGTCGGCAGCACAACCTTCACCGGAGCAGCGGTCCCTTTGCTTGCCATGACTGCCAGAAGTCGTTTCCGGAGCCGAATTTACTCCAGGAGCATCTCTCCACTCACAGTAACTTCACGCAAAGCGTCTGCGGAATTTGTCGGACATTTTTTTCTTCTCCGTACTACCTGGCTGAGCACCTTCAAGCTGCTCACGGTCATGTGTACAACAGCGACGACCGCAGCTCTGACTGTCCGGATAAAAAGCCATCGGATGATCTTATCCTGCGGAAAACTGATCCGGCTAAAAGTGTTGAGAATTCTTCATCCCAGCAGCCTTCACTGACCACTGGTCATCCATTACCGCTGTCGAAGCGCCACCGGCATTACTCCCCAGCAGATTCCCAGTTGTTTACAGTTCACACACCTAAAGGCCTGGAGGTCCAGAAGCTTCCGGCGGACGCTGTGGTGACCACCGCTAGCCCAGACAGCAGCTACGATGATGCCAGGTTCCAACTGGACTCGCAGCCAGCCAGTTCTGGTACTCAGAAAATGGCAGCAGCTGAAGGAATAAACACGGAGAACGATTCAGCCGTCAAACGGCTGAGCGCGGATTCTAAGCCAATTCAGAACGACAAAGCTCCAAACAAGGAAGAGAATGAGTCCAATTCATCTTATGAATCTAACAAGGAGGGTTCGCGTACCTCCTCTCCTGGTGCTGAGGATATTGATAAATTTTACAAGCACAAAAAATACAGCCGTCACAGGAAGCGCGGCGGATCCACCGAAATGAGCAGCGAACCAGAAAGTAAAACATCTAAACTTGATGGAACCAAACGGGATGAATCTCCATTTTCTGTCTCGTCCTCGGTTAATTCCGGAGTTTTATTCCGAGACTGTGAATCTTCATGCCAACATTCAGAAGATTCCAGCAACTCCTTCAAACAGCCTGGGGACAAACCGGACGATAAAGCTGGCGGAGGTCAGGGCGACCCCAAGTTTGATGACGGCAGCGAAGACGGGAAATCTGGGAAGAAAAACAATTCATCGGAGGGTGGGACTAAATTTAAGTGGGATCGGTTGACTCGCAGTCAGGCAGGCAAAGTGACCCAGTCTTCAAGCTACTCATCCTAGTAGGACGTTCTCCCGACCTATTTGCTATTGTTATCCTCTGTGCCATTAGTTTATGCTCAAATATTTTACTTTGATGTCTTTATAACGTGATTGGATTTATTAAAATACATACATATTATGTAATATATATATATATATATATACAAATATACATATTGTATAATTACAAGTACAGTATAGATGTGTATGTATTTATAAATTCAACACAAACATAATGTTCATGTACTCTGTGGTATAACTAGTCACAGTCATATTGAATAACTAAGGGGAAGTAAGCCAAGTCTGAAGGGAAATAATTCATGTGCCATAAAAGTCACACTACTGCTGTAGAAAGCAAACTTTCATGTGTTTCTCCTCCTGTTTGTTGTATCCTGTTTGTGGATCTTGTTTTTGTGGATTAAGCACCATAGGATTTGTGTTGATGTTGTTATTTCAACTTATATTCTCTTATTATAATTTAATTATAGGAATGGGTAGACTTATATGGAGACCAATTTGAGACAATTTTTTTTGTTTCTGTTCATTAATTAAGAAATGCTAAATATGTTTTATTGTTTGTATTCAGAAGTGATTTGATGTGTTAAGAATATTGTTATGTGTTTATCTGCTGATAGAAATATTTACCAAAAAAATGTTTCTCACAAAGGCTAGGTAATAGAAAAGACAGATAATCTTATAATGTATATAATAATAGAATTACCTAATGCTGTGGTCTATACGCAACACTCATATGTAATGAAGATCCTTTTACATTAAATTGTTGTGTTTGTAAAGCGTTTGATTTTTTACAGGTTCAAGCTAGGAAACACAATTATTTTCAAGTGTAATTGTTAAAATAAGGTGTTCTAATTATATGTCTTAATTACTAAGCTCTGGTTTCTACTCACAATGATATAGTTCATGTGTTACTTTATTTTTGGAGTTTTTTCTTGGTTCTCTGCGGCATTAGAAAAGATGATATTTTGGCCTACCATAGTTTTTAATTCATTATTGATTCAGTTTTTTTATCTACCATAGCAATTAAATTAATTTAGAATTTTATTTCAATTGTAATTAAAATTCTTAATCTAAAAGATAGTAGGTTGTTTTTGTCACTTAGAGAATTTTAAAAAGGAGTATATTATTGTCATTTCTAGAATTTAAAATTGTATATTTTTTGGTGACTCCTCAAAAGGTATATATTTGGTCTACAATATTTATTAAAGTAGCATGTTATTTCATCTAGCCTGGTTACCAAGTGTGAATAAGTTTTTAGGTCTGCTTAAATTAAATTAGAAATGCTAATTAAAAGAGAATATGAACACATTTGTAACAGCTTCTATACTATCAAATGACGCATAATTGCATAAATTTGTCTCTGTTCACAATGCTTCAAAGCTATGCTAAAAACTCTTACAAAAAGGTCCATGGAAGTTGTTTAGAATAAATTTAGTTAAATTACTTTTATCCGATACCAGTATGTTTTTAGAGAAATTATTTGGCTATGGAGTAAAACAAAAGTTTTGAATAAAACTTGAATAACAAAAAGTTAGATGCTATTTGGACTAGTGTTACAAATAAACAGAGCCAGCAGTTATTGTTCTCTATTTTACTTATGTGATTCATGGGTCAGTTTTTAAATAGTCCCCAAATTAATGGTTCGGTATAATATTTGTGATTCAGGCCCACCCCCCACATTAGTTCAAGGATGGTGCCATATTCATACGACAGGGCCCACCATAAATGGTTCATTACAGTACTTGCAACAAGAGACTAACTACCACGGGGTGTTTCGGTATGTTGGTTATATTTCAGAGCATCACACCCCCCCCCCCCAATTCCATTTCTCTGGTTGTTTATAGTGAAGTTTTGATCTGAAATGTTCACGGAATGTTTTAATGATGTTGCTTCTTGAATTCTGTGTGGTATTGAGTATGGCTAGTGGATACATACCCATGTACATAGTGGATGTATATCCATCAGCTTTTTCTTTTGTGTTCCACCACGGTGTGTGTGGGAAGTGGGTGGTTGATTTTTGTGTTGGTGGACAGTGGATTCTAGTTAGTCGTGATGGGTGAGAGTGGGTTTTTTTCCTCTATTTCCACCATTTGTAAATATCAACCACAGTTGAAAGGACCTGCTATGGTAAAAGGTCCTGCTGTAGTTGAAGGTCCTGTTATAGTTGAAGGTCCTGCTAAAGGGCTGGTAAGTAGGTCACCAACCAGTTCTACTGCTCATGCAGGTTTTATTGAGCCGTAGAACTATTTAGTTACTTACCAGCCCTATAGTTGATACAACTGATAAGTTTTTTTTTGTTTCACTGCTTAAGGGCAATAGTTCTATCCATTTTCTAACATGGATATTCTGCTGTTCAAGTGAATCTGCTCAAATTTTCATTCTTTTTTTTTAAATCGTCTTCGTATCATATTTTCTGCTTTCCAAGTCATGTACAAAAAATGTTCAGCAAGTTCCAGTTTCGTTTGTTTAAATATTACGGTAATATTAATTTTTTAATATAAAACATTACGGTAGTATGAATTATTAAACATAGAACATTACGGTAATATGAATTATTAAAAATAGAACATTGCGGTAATGTGAATTATTGAATATAGTACATTAAGGTAATACGAATTATTGAATATAGTATATTACGGTATTATGTATTATAGAATATAGAACATTACGGTAATATGTATTATTGAATATAGTACATTAAGGTAATATGAATTATAGAATATTGAACATTACGGTAACATGAATTATTGAATGTAAAATATTATGGTAATATGAATTATTGAATGTAAAACATTATGGTAAATTGAATTATTGAATATAAAACGTTTGATTGAAAATTCCTTTGAATCTGCTTTGATTATTTTAATGCTTATTTTCTCCAATGTTTGTTTACTATGGTTGACTAGACAAACCTGTGTTATAAATAGATGTGTGGATGGATTCCACAAACAAAATAAAACATTTTGAAACAAAATTCTGTGGATCTCTTTTTATTTTTTAAATTTGGTCTTTGTGGTACTTAAAAGTTGTTGAATTGCTATGAAATTATATTTTTTTTAAATTCTATGAAATTATAATTTTAAAAAATATTTTTTTAAAAGTTTTTTGCTGCATTAAAGTTATTGTATTGGTATGAAATTTTTAAAATTATGAACTGCAACCATTTAGCTAATTGTCTGCAGGTATTTTAGCTCTAGTAAGATCTCTTAATTATAGCCTGCAAATACATCTTTGCTTAAAATATCTGTTTCATTATTCCTTGCATTACAGTACTTGTAAGATGTGTATTTTGGTACTCTGATGATCTGTTTGATTCATACATGCAAGTGTTATTTAATTAACTTAAATCAGATGGTGACTATAATTTACTGAACATTACACAAAAGCCATATAGCTTAGCTTAATATGTTGAAACTGGCACCTAATGAAATCAGTCGTTAATTTTAAGGTAATGAAGACGTGGTCAGAAAGTGCCAACCACAGTGTCATCTTGTGTCACCCATCAGATGACCCCCTCACATTTTCACCTCTACAACTCTGTCCTCTACTCTCCCCCACGAATTCGGTGAGAATAACAAACCACGTTTAATAAATATATTTTTCAACCTCTTTCACAGAAAGTTAAAAAAACGAAACAAAAATGTTACTTCCGGTTGACTGACATTTGCTAGCGGTTTACGTCTATTCTTTCATAATTTTTTTTTATAAAATCAATGTGAAAAATATTGAGGCATATAAATTGATCTAAACCTTCATCGCGTGCGTTTAATCTTTTTTTTTTTTTTTTCAAAATCACAAGTATTGGTTTTGTTATGGATCTGTGTGTTGTCAGACCTAGATCTAGTTGACTTAGGTGCAGTGTTTCTTCCAGACTTTTTTCTCCGGGGGGGCACTTGAAATTTTCGGGGGGGCGGAAAACTTTCTTCGGGGGGGCGGACACTGTTAAAAGTATATTTTTTCTATATAAAGTATATTAAATTTCATTCCGTTCGGGGGGGCGGTAAAATTTTTTCGGGGGGGGGCTTCGCCCCCCCGAAGAGATGCCTGGAAGAAACTCTGCTTAGGTGGGGTTAGACGTCATAGTCAAGAGGATCTTTGGAGAGACCTAGTCTAGTGGATCTTGGTGTTGTCAAATCTAGTGGATCTTGGTGTTGTCAAATCTAGTGGATCTTGGTGTTGTCAAATCTAGTGGATCTTGGTGTTGTCAAATCTAGTGGATCTTGGTGTTGTCAAAGCTAGTGGATCTTGGTGTTGTCAAATCTAGTGGATCTTGGTGTTGTCAAATCTAGTGGATCTTGGTGTGGTCAAAGCTAGTGGATGTGGGTGTGGTCAGACCTAGTGGATCTTTGTGTGGAGAGACCTAGTCTAGTGGGTCTTGGTATTGTCAAATCTCGTGGATCTTGGTGGGGTGAAACCTAGTGGATCTTGGTGTTGTCAAACTTAGACTCAACCCTACACTATTTAGATCCACGCCCCCCCCCCCCCAAACGACCCCGCCCACCTAATCAATCTGACTCTTTCCCCCCCCCCCCCCCCCCCCCCCCCCCCCAGTAATAATCTGGCTATCAGGTCCAAACAAAAATGTATGTCTACATTTAAAATATCAATGACCTAAACTAGCTGCATCCACACAGCTAGATCGAGATCTAGTTGTTGTTTTGTTTCATGCATAAATCGCACGCGACAGTTTGACATGTAAAAGCGACCTCTAGCGTGCAGCCGCCTGCGTCAACAATGGGTCTGAAATCTTTGGATGTAAACAACTCCATTAACAGGTGCAAGGTGGGGGGGGGGGGGGGGGGGGGGAGGGGGGTTATGTAAAGGTAGGTAAATAATATCACGTAATTAATTAGTAGGACCGTAGCAGTCTGGTTCATTGTCATTTTGTCTTCTTTTTTTTTTAATTTAATTTTTTTTAATTTTTGTTTTCTTTTAATTTTTAACCGTGGCTGCGGAGTCAACAAGTGTAAACTTTTGGCATCAACTGTGTCGTCTGCTTGGTTTCTGTCAGACAATTTTTTTTCTCCCTGGGGGGAGGGGGGGGGGAGGGATGGGCAGTTTAATTAACTTCCGGGATGGACACACGCTAAGGTTTATTTTTCTTGAGTATATTTTTTTTTCTATTTCGTACGGAGAGGGTTGAGGGTATGCAGTGCTCCAGTTGATAGATTAATGACTTAATCACTGATCGTCCCGAGGTGCTAGTGGCGTAGGCAGGGGGAATGGGGGGGTTAGGGGGGGGGGGTCATAACCCCACATAGACCCCTCGGTATATATATAAAGTATGAGGGGGGTGCAAATCGAAAGTTTGAGGGGGGGTGCAAATCGAAAGTTTGAGGGGGGGGGGGGTGCAAATCGAAAGTTTGAGGTGGGGGTGCAAATCGAAAGTTTGTCCCCGGGTAAAAATTGGACCCCCCCCCCTTGAGACGATCCTGGCTACGCCACTGACTAAGGGGATGGCTAAACGTGTGTGTGTGTGGGGGGGGGGGGTATGCCAGTGTCCTGTACGACCACAGTGATGGAATGTTCTATTGAAAG